ATTGGGAAAAAAAAAAAAAAAAAAAAAAAAAAAAAAAAAAAAAAAAAAAAAAAAAAAAAAAAAAATACAAACACAACCTCACGAGGTGCTGCGGACGGTTGGCGACGGCGGGTGGAGCGGCGGCGGCTGGGGAAGAGAAGAGGAGGAAGAGGAGCGAACAAAGAGAAGAGACCGAAGGTAGGAGGGTCGTTCATCCCTCCCCTACTTCATGGGAGTAGACCCGCCCCTTTTTCTTCATCATCATCACCATCATCATCATCACCTGCTGCATGATCATAATCATCATCATTCCCACACTTAAAACTAAACCTAAGTAATACCAACACCTATTCATACCAACTCATCACCTTCTAACCATCTACCAACAGGCAACAAACATCACCCCTGCCTCGTTAGGCAGGGAGTCCAAGCCCGGGCAGAGGGGATTGCCCCGAGCCTCCGTAAGGGGACACGAAGATCCAACGACGCTATTCAATCTGAACTTGATTATATTGAAGCTGAGCCAGTAGAGAAATGGCTAATTATCTCTGATAGTATGAGCATTTTGAAGGTATTAGATAATCCAAGATTATCTACCAGTTATTTTATTTGTGATATCAGGGAAAAGTACTATAATTTGTTTAATTCTTCACTGGTGGTAGGACCTCTTGTGAGTCCGCACGGGTAGGTACCACCGCCCTGCCTATTTCTGCCGTGAAGCAGTAATGCGTTTCGGTTTGAAGGGTGGGGTAGCCGTTGTAACTATACTGAGACCTTAGAACTTATATCTCAAGGTGAGTGGCGCATTTGCGTTGTAGATGTCTATGGGCTCCAGTAACCACTTAACACCAGGTGGGCTGTGAGCTCGTCCACCCATCTAAGCAATAAAAAAAGAAAAATAATAATAATAATAATCATCATAAAGATATAATTTTGTTTTGGACACCATCGCATGTTGGTGTTGCTGGCGATGAGGTTGATTACTTGGTGAAATGTATTATAGCAAACCCTAACAATCATATTATAAAACTAGTACCAATTCCGGATTCAGATTATTTAATTATAATAAAACACATATTGTGTGAAAAATTCAAAGATATTTGGTTAGAAATAGTTCAGTCAAAAGGAAAATGGTATGCTGAAATTAAAGATAAAACTTCTTCACCTTGGTTCATTAAAGGGAATTCTTATCTTGATAGGAAGTTTTATACAACTATATATATGTCGCTTGAGATTAGGTCATTGCCGCTTCAATGCTCATTTCTTTCGAATCAACGATTTGTCTTCTCCAGTTTGTAATTACTGCAATAGTTCCTTGTTCACATTTTCTTTAGTTGTTCTGCTTTGTCACTGGGCTAAACTTTCCTTTTTGTTCCGTCGATTTGGAAGTTCACAATATTGTTATAGATAGTACTCATTGTTTAGAGCAATTCTAAACATGAAGTTTTTATTACTATTTTTGGAATTTTTAAATAGAATAATTATTTTGACAACACAGTCATTGTAAATCAATCAACAATTCAGGTCGTACGTGCACGCGTTGTAACTATATTAAAATAAAAAGAAAAAATCTTCTCTCTAAATATATCAAATTATTGAAGCGACCAGCACAAAAATACAGTCCACGCTCTACGCATTGGTCCATCTACCCCTTAGTAAAGATTTGGAAGAAGGTAAGATCTAAAAGTGCAACTACGTGCATCATTATTTCCCGAAGGCCGCGGGAGGACGACCTGCGAAAAATCAGCATAATTAGTCTGCTACACTCTGCATAAGCTGCATAAGCCAGAGACCCAGAACTCAATTGCTGCGAAAAGTACTTCTGCATTCGGAGCAGCGTGGATCATCTTCCGACGAATCATGCAAAAGGTGACTTCGTTTTACTTGATGTTTCAACAAAATAATATCTACCCTCAAGCTTATATCAGAAGTGTCGGACTCATCTCCACTACAGTCATCAAATAATTCGGCCAACAATATGATGTTTGAACAAATGTCATTATTTTCATCTGGGATGGAAGCCATGTTACAAAGAATCACTGAAAGTATGTCAGTTCATCGACCTAGCCAGAGCTCACCAACCAGATTGGTCAATTTTGACCCGGATGAACCGGAGGCTGATGTTGTAAGTTGGTGTACGCTGAGCGAAATGATCATCGAACAGAAGAAATTGGATGGTGTAGATTTAATTTTGACTCTCACACATTCGCTTAAGGCTCGAGCTGCTACTTGCCTCACAAAAATACAGCCTGGTAAGATATCCTGGCCTACTATTAAAGAGATGCTGACAAAATTCTCTAACGATGCAAGACCACTTCGACCTGGTTATTAAATTTGAAATGGAAAGCAAAGAGGGACCAGCTGAAGCCGGTATCCGGCTATGGCAATTTATAAAGAAGATTCCCGACGCTAATATGCCAGAAAATAGCCACCGGATTTGCTATATCAATACTGTCGCAGTGTGATGAAAGAATCCGTCGGGAATTGAACTCTGTCGTTATTACCACCAAAAATCATCTATTTCGCACATTACGTGGCTTTAACCTCAAAAGAAAAAACGACGATACTGATAAAGAATCGAAGTTTTTTTCCGCGGAAGCTGCCATTTCTGCGGAAAACCTGGGCATCGTGCCGAAGGGTGTTGCGACAGATACTGCTCTCAAACTTTTTTTGATATTCCAGCAAAACCTGAACAACCTCCTCATCCGTGGGCGCCCGGCTCTCGCCTGCAAGTCAGCTGTTACGTGTGCGGTGATGCGAGCCATGTAGCTTCTGGGTGTTCCATGCGCTACAAGAAGAAAAACGTCACTGCTCCAGGTGCTGTGGCAGGTCCAACCAGAGACGTCAACGTGTGTTCTAGAGCTTCAGTGTGTTACAGATAAGTGGTTTTGGCTTCCCCTTTATGTTCCATTCAGGGTCAGAATGTAGTCTTATAAAACAAAGCCATAGTAATTTATTCAATGGTAAACGGTTTCATGAACAAGTCACTCTTTGATCTGAAAGTAACTTGGACCAATCATGGCAAGAGCAGTAAGGGGATATTCAACTCTCCCTTAATAGTACACGTTGTCGAGTAACAGGCTTTACTCTAATAGAATAGATGTTTGCCCTTCAGGGTAGTTCACTTGAAATATCGAAAGTTTCAAGAATGATAATCCCTCTAGATTAGTTATTTATTTAGCACGGTCGAAGGCCTGCGAAAACATAAAAAAGGGCACAAACAGAAGCTTGGTTTAGTCGAGGCAAAGCTAAAGTCAAACTCTTTTCCGCTGGGGATTTTGTTTTCATAAATTAGACCGAAAATATAAAGGTCCCTTCAACATTAATGCACCCCGAATCCTGATCACGCAGGAGCAAGTCACCGTCGTCGTCCTAGACACGTCCTTACGGATCCATCAGATCCAATAACTCTTGCATTAGATACCTTCAGCTCTAACACTAGGAGCAGGCTGAGGAACCCCGGTAACCGTACTCGTCGAACTCGACAAAGAGGTCGACGTGCAACCTAACCCATGCATCAGCCCACTGAGTTTCTCGCCGGATCTTCTTAGTGGGTCGCGATTCCGATCCGGTAGTAGATTCATTCGCGAAGCAATTGCTCTTGAGTTGTTAGGTCTCCTTCGGAGGCGCTCGGGCAGTTGTTAGCAAATCCCACCCCTCTTGGCTGAGCTTTTGCTTGCCCACCCGTCCTGGTGAAGCTGGAAAGGACTCCGGGCCACCAGTAATCTTTCAATCATTAAAAAAAAGAAAAAAGAAAAACATGACTGCAGTTTTGGAAAACAATAGGTATGAAAACTTACGCGAAGTACCTCGAGGCCCGTCAGGCCTACTAGAAATTTCTGAAAATTATAGTGACGATGACGTGACGGCGTACACAGATGGGTTAAGTAATCTTGTTCATGAAACTGATCTTAATGATGACGACTCTATCACTGACAATAGAAGCAACATTTTTGTCCGCAAATAGCGATACTATGTCTGTGGGTAGTGATACAATGTCTGTAAGCTCAGGCACCTCGGGTGCAGGTGTTGGAAATGCAGAAAACGATGGTCGGTCTCGCATTATTTCTGAAGAAATTCCGTATAAATGTTCTGGTTTAAGAAATGTTTCAACAAATGCTACCGTACACGCAGAGTGAAAAAAAAAACAAAAAGAGAAAAAATAATAATTGTATTGGCTAAAGGGATGTTGATCCGGACTAGCAAAGAAAAAAAAAAGAGAAAAAAAAAGTGTGAAGTCATTGAAGGGTCTGTCCGGTCCAATGGCTTGGCTATAGGGATTTTCATCTGGACTAGCCACAACAATTAGCTACAGGGATTGCAATTTGGTCTAGCATTATCCGGTCCAGTTCGAAAAACTGAAGGGATAACAATTCCGGTCTAAGTTAAAAGGGACATATTTACATACCTGAAGAGTTTTAAATGAACTGGCCCAGGTATGTAAGCAGTCTGAAGGCTATTTATAGCCAGTCTAAGATTTTCTGAAGAATTATGCGAACCGAACCGTACTAGATTGTTAATATCATAGACCACATTTTAAGTTGCATCCGTTAATGTCAGGATGAACGAACACGTTTGTTGGTCACAGACATACCATAAGAATGCGCGCACGAGGACGAGCGCACGTCAGTATGGCCGTGACGGCTTTACGATATTTATGTTACATAGCACGTGCAATAGGAGTGACTCACACAAGCCAGGTGCGCCGGCCGTGTCGTTCCACTCGTAAACAACAGGTGCAACAGAAGTGACTCATAAATAAGCCAGCTGCGCCGTCCCGTATAAAAAGGCGGTACGTGCCTCGAAATGGACATTCGTTGGACTGCGTTTGCCTGGTGCTCTTACTATATCCTTGTTACGTTGTGTGATTCAGTGACTGTTGTACGAACTGGTTAAAGTTGGACAAGTGTTAAAGTGAATTGTTAAGATAACATATTGTTGATTAAATCAGGAATCAAAAGGTGACTTCGTTTTACTTGATGTTTCAACAAAATAATATCTACCCTCAAGCTTATATATTCATTCATCATACATTCTAGTTTATGGTAACATAATTTTCACGGGGCGTAGACTTAAAAACATGCATCTACGAGTAGTATGAAGTGTAGGATATGAAAAAGGTCCATTGGACCATATTTTTTGCTCTAGAATATATTTTCGTCTTCTATTTGGCAATTTAGGCAATTATTTATATTTTCACTTTCCATAATATTATTGTTGCCAAAGTGGGGTAGTTTATCCCAGGCAACAAGCTTGGCACAGGTAAATTTCCAACTAGAAAAATTATTACTTAAAATAGATCAGAATTTCTTTCTTTATACATATTATTGTTGCCGAAGTGGGGTAGTTTATCCCAGGCAACAAGCACAGATAAATTTTAAATTAGAAAAGTTATTACTTAAAATAGATCAGAATTTCTCTTTCTTTATAACTTCAAGTTGTAAATTTTCTACTTTCCATAAAATTAAATAAATTTGCAAAATGTGGTGGCCTAGTTTATTTGCTATCAATTATAGATAGTAGAAAGATTTTAGAGTTTATTGTGGACTGATAGACAGAAAATACATGCGGAGACTTTATCGTTGTCTTAATACTTCCAAGTTAAGACGGGAAGAAATGCACGTGGAGACTTTATTCTGAAGGTTAAGTCTCAGCGATACTTAGTAATATTATTTACTTTAATTCTTAAAAGTATCAAAAGAAAATCAAAATTTGATGAGCACTGGGCTTCCAGAAACCAAGCATTAGCAAATTATTATAATGTAAAAACTAAACTTTTAGAAGCAAATTTATAAAATGTATTGTTAGAAAATAAAAAAAATACTTTAGAAATTGAAAAACCTAAGAATATAAATAAACTTTATATTATATTATAATATATTATATGCTGATGTTTTTGTTTGTATTTTTATGCAGGTCTTATCTATATTTTTTGTGTTGTAAATAAATATCTAATTAAGTTTAGCAGTTAAAATGATGATAAGTTTGTCCCAATGTTTGTGCTAAATATAAATAATAGATAAATATTTTCATATAAAATAAAACAAAATAACATTTACATACAAATGTAATGTGTTAAAGATTGAAAAAGTTTGGTTTTAAATATTAGCTATTTGCCACCTACTTGACGGTAAGTTTTTATTCCTTTCTTTTCGCTTAAAGTTTACTTATAATGATAACAGATATTTAAATTTTGAAATTTTGTTAAGATTGAAGTATGGGGGTGGTCCACTACTGATTCCGTTTTACCATGATTTTCTAGTAATGGACCATGATGGTCAACTTCAGATAATAAAAATTAACATGTATTATTACCATTATACTGTACATATGAAGGGCAGCATTAATTAAAATGAACTATTGTATTTACTTTTACAATAAATTGATTTTATTTAGTAGTTGACCTTTGTTGTAAACTATGATCAATATCTCAAAACCAATTTTTATAATTTTAGATGTTTGCGAAAAAGGGCGCATTCTTAAATTACACTGAAGAGGCAATGCTCTCAGCAGTGAAGGATGTTCAACTTCATAAAACACCCATAAGAACGACTGCAAAAAGTTCGGTGTACCAAGAATAACGCTTACAAATAAAGTTAAAGGGAATTCACCAATGGAACGAAAGATGGGAAACTAAGAAAGAAAGAAAAAGAGAATAAAAACTCAAAAAAATCAATTCAACCCAAACTAAGCGGGTAAAAAAAATCTACGATTCTCTTCCTCAAGTTCAGACTCGGTTGTTGTAGTCTCTTCAGGAGAAAGTGTTAATGAGACAGCAAATGAGATTGATCAAGAATGCCATAAAGAGTAGATGGTCAATTTGTCATATTTAAGTACGATAATAACTTTTATCCAGGGAAAGTACTCAAAGCTACGAAAAAAGCAGCTACAATCTCATCAGTGAAAGCAAATGGTCGATTATGGAAGTGGCCTGAACATATTGATGTGCTCGTCTATCCTTGGGAAGCCGCGTAGCCAGCCAACGACGAGCCCAAGAAGACGAGTAGTACTAGAAATGTATTTGATGTACCTGAGATACATTCCTTTATATAACTTTTAACGAGTGGTGGATTCTATTAGTATTCATATATTTCAAATAAAACGTAAATTTCTCTTATTTTGCTTCTTAATTAATAACAACCCAATTAAAACTCAAGCATCTGAATGGTCATCTACTGATGTAAAATATGGTCATCTACTAGTTTCTTGATGGTCAACTACTAAATCTCTAATAGTAGATTTTATTTTGTTTTTTATTTTTATTCAACCATTGTTCAATTAAAAATACTGGTTCATTCGTTAAAAGACTTCTATGAAGCTTACAAAAAAAAAACCAGTTCTTTGAAATAAGATGAAAATTAAAATGGAACATTAAAAAATAAAATTCTGTGTCCTTAAGTGGTCATCTGCTGGTGCTTAACCCTATAATCAATACGGCAATAGCTTCTTCGTGATCCTGATGGACCTTCGTCTCCATCAGTATCATCAGTATCCTCACTATCTCAATCTGAAAGCTGCTCCAGCACTTCAAAATCACTGTCACTATCACTAGACATTAAAGTTCCGGCCACTATGTTCTATTTTAATTCTTTTAGTAATTAATAAGCCAAATAAATATTTTGTAAACAGTAAATAATCCGAAAGATTGCTTGCAATCGACCAAAATTCTAGGATTGTAAAAATAGATTGCAGATAGCCATAAATAGATTTGTCAAAGTCAAAAGATCGATTATTGAAACCCAACCACAGACTTTTCCCACAGACGGCGATCCAAAAAGTGGTAGAAATGGATTGACGCCCTCTAGCAGATAGATTGCGTTTTCGGATTGCCAAAGCAATCTGTGGTTTGGTTATTGAAACAGTTTTGTAATTTTTGGGATTGAAATTTCGATCCGAGATAACTGAAAAAAGATCGAGGATACGTTATTGAGACTGGCCGTAATCGGCGACGATCACCCGATTATAACGGTCGAACTATCACAACAAAAGTGAAAAGAATGGATTTCGTGATCGACAACAGTTGGATTATTCCAATTATTTCGAAAACGTTCAAGACACATTGCAACGTTGAGTATTGCAATTCAGTAAAATACATAAAATACATCTTCTGCAAATATGTCACGAAAGGCAGCGATATGGCGGTTTTTGGCATCCAAACCTCCAATACCAACGATAAAATTGCGCGCTATCAAGTTGGTCGGTATGTGAACTGCAATGAAGAGATTTGACGTATATTCGCATTCCCTATTCACGAATGTCATCATACTGTTGTGCATGTGGCGGTGCATCTGGAGAATTCCAGATAGGTAGGATGACCATTCGGTCAACGAGTATATTTCACGACTTCGAATGCTGTTCAACGTGCTGAAACATCTCCAGCGAAAAC